CAGTTACCTGATTATTCGCACCAATAGCATGCTTCCCGGTTAACTTTTTGTCTTGTTAGCGTTAACTTTGCTCTTATGTTCCCCTCCTTTTACACTTCGGCCTTCCTTGTCCCTTTATTAAAATAAACTTTCATTTCTGGCTCTTATTCCTATTATTATTTCCATTTATCGCCGTCTACAGCTTGTCAGTTTACTGCCCTACCCATATAACCATCTATTACCTGGTGCCCGTAAGACAGATGGACCTTGGCTTCCCAACCTGGGCTTGGCCTCACTAATTATTCTCACCCTGATGTGGAATATAGTGCACGTTGCAATTATAGGTAAAGTTTTGGAAGCCGGAAGTCGTTTCAGGAGGCACGTTGTCCGTTGTTGAGTGTCGGGAAAGAGGACAGCAGTTGGAGTCTGTTGTTTAGTTGGGGGAAAGGGATGGGCAGTTGAAGGGAAGGGGAACCAGCCATTTTCACCGACACGCGAGTTAAACCATCTCCATCCCACAGCCGCGCGTAAAAAATTCCAACTTCAATAAAACAATCTCATCCAGTGTTCGTGGAGCGTTACAGCTAAACTTAGCACCAAGTATCATTTCAATTTTTAATTGGTGTTTCTTCGTGACCGACATCGGCCAATCAGCGCTCCACATTCCCTCACTAGCTACGGGCAACAAAAGCGTCAATGGGTCTACAGAACTGAGACTCACAAGTGTTGACACTGACTGGCATAATGTGCCTGGAGGATTTAGCCACGCCTTCCGCACACTCCGTGTCTTAGATAAAACCTCGGTCAACTTCGATTGTCTTCCCTGACATCTGATTTAGAAAACTTCATTTCGACTGTTAAAAATTAAACACCTTCATAATTCGAAATTTTTCCATAAACAATCGCTGGTACATATTTCTCTGTTTTAATGTGTTTGACTTTGTGAGATGCTTGGTTTGGTTGCCTTTTGCACTTTTTGTAGGAAGTTTTATTTTGTGAAACACAACAAACTTTCCACATGCCACTTTCTTTTCAAGGACGAAGTGAACTTTCAGTCAGTTTATAGGGTCTCACCGTTTGACCTCAGTACCCCAAAGTATCACTCCGGTATATGCACTGACTTGTGCATTTCTTCTAGAATGCTTATCAAACTAGCTAGATAATTTGGTTCTTTTCGTATATTTAGTAATTTTATGCCCTACTTATCCTTCAGGAAACAATCCTGATGCAGGGTATCAAGGAAGGGCGCGGGACCCAAATTACTGAGTTGCACTTTAGGATTCGTTTTCTCTTCAGTCCTATAGATTGGTGCGGCAAATCAAGACGTAGGGGCTGCTTAGCCAGAAAGAACCGTTCAAGTCTTTCGTGCTTCATTTATTGGCGTGTTTTGCGCTATAGTTGTCTAAAAGTCGCTTTGGCCGCTGAATAAGTTGAAATACGTCAAATTCATTTTCTAGTAGGCCTACGCGAATAGGCGCGGCTGTCTCAGCGAACTATGGGGCGATTCTGGAACTTAGACGATTCACACCGATTTTTTAAGATTAAGCTTTTGGGTCGGGCCATAACACCAATGATAACAGAAACTTGTCTCGACACACGCCTAATCGATTTCGTCCACGCTTAAGCCCGCACCGGCAACGTTGTATTTCTGTCACTAAACCGTTGAACCCGTGGAATAATCACAGCCGTTACATACACTGGCTCCTCCTGAAAGTACTTCATCATTTGAGTACCTCAGCAAGTCAATGTATGGGCATTTTCCTGGCGTGCATGTGTCGAGAACATGCAGGCATAATTCTCAAACAGTATCTTTGAGAACTATTTGATCCCAGTCAGTGTTACGAAACTTTAAAAGTGATATATATCAAGAACCTCATGGGCAATCCAACGTTTTATCCTCGTACCAGTTCTTACAGGTAGCTTTGCAACAATTTCAGCCTTTTATTTCTTCTATTGCTGTTACCGGTTTACTTTAGCCTTTGCTGTCTTACGTACCAAAAACCACATGCGTTAAGTTAATTTTTTTATTTAAATATATAACCGATTATTCGGCAAACGGTGTGCTGAAGACCCTGCTCTAGTACGAATCGTTTTTGGCCGTCTATCATTATAGATTAGTCGTTTCAGAGGCAGTATGTCTTGTATGAAACTATTTGCTGAAGTTTCTGGAATGATGCTTTAAAACTGAAGCGTACTTCTCTCCCTTCTCATGTCTCTTTCTCTGCCTCGTATATTCGCCGAAAACTTGCGTAGATCTTCGTTCAGGTCATGTTACTATTTCTGTGGGAAGCACACCGTCTTCTGTCCCTACGGGAATTGAGATCTTAAGGCCAGTTAATCAACTATTGGAAGACACTGCTTCTTTGAGTGTTTGCTGTTTCTTTCGACTAGACCTGTTGACCTTCCGATTGTTTAATGGCCTAAGGTAAAAGTAATGGTCAAGTCAAGTCAAGTCAAATTTATTAAAGGAAATATAGGCAAACGCGTTTGAACTCCCTCTTGGTCAATATATAGCGAATAGTCAATTCCGTTTTCAAAATTCTTTGTTAGTGATGCAGTATGCTTGTTGTCATACGTTTCACCTGCGAATCTTTCTTTGATAGACCAGCGTTTCTACTATTTGGAACAGTTTGCTGTTCTAATTTATAATGATCATTGGTTAACCAGCTCTGTAAGGCTGCGTTTTCGACCTATCTGAATACTTTTTCATCAACTGAACAGTAAAATCTTTGAGGCAATGATCTCGGGACTAAATTTTTGATAGGTGCATAAAGGTTCGAAAATCGAAATATTCCTTTGTAACAACTTTGCACATGAGAATTAGGTACGTCTTACTTTCGACTCTACTATTCATCATGTTGACTATCAAATCATCTATTTTCCGATTTAAACTTGTTAATCACAGAAATTGCACCCATTCTCCCAGTAGACAAGACACATTGTTGTATTATTTTCTGCTATTTTAGGATCCCTTCCAACTCTCCGATTCCACACAGTTCTCGCGTACACAATGGTGATGCACTTCGGAAGTCGTGCCGTAAAGCCCCTTCGCGGTCTACTATTCTTATCAAGCCTTATCAACGGGGTATTTCAACTCATTTTACCCTTATGATCTTTTCAGTTTATATCCCTCCCGGTCCTCGTCCTTGGATTTTATCTGCGTTTTATGCCGGATCCTCAAATGGCTGTGTTTGGGATGTCACGAGTTCACTCTGTGGGCACCACCCTAATTATCATTGGAATATCTCTGTTGACTACTGCCCTAATCGGAGGCATTTCTGCTGTAAAGGGAGACAAACAATTGGAATTTGCAGTAATTATATTTGCTTTATGTAAATCTTTTTAGTACTTCTTTTTACTACTGCTTCTTTCCTTGGTTGCTTTTGGAATCGGTGGATATTCATTTTACTATAGATCAGCGGTGAGTTTCATTCATTAAATACTTATATCAAAAAATTTTGAAAGCATATTTCCCAACATTTATCTTAAAATTCGTGCATCCAAGTCCGTGTTTGGTCTTAGATTAGTTGCTAGATTTTGCCAATATGCACCCTTTTGACAATAAATGTATCTATAAGGGATCTAGTTATAACACTGAGCGCATTTTTAATGCTACGAAAGGGAGCGCGTAGTTATTTTGGCATTATGTTTTTGTCATAAACCTTTAATCCTTTTCAATCGAAAAACATGTTTAGGTCTCAAATCGTTGTCCTTGTGCTTTTAGCTGTTATGGCATTGCGTTTGGAAGATTTTTTGCCTCTGTCAACTAAATTTTCACTATAATGAAGACAGTTTGCCCCTACTTGTTACTACTCCCCATAATTTCCTTTATATCATTGACTTCCATTTCTCCTACCGGACTGGAATCTGTTGCGTATTTCGTTGTTTCAACTAGACCGCCTATGCCAAATGAGGTTCCAAGCAACTTGCATTTTTGTAAAAGGCAAGCGTAGGCCATTTAAACTGTTCGCTGCTGCCAGAAATGAAGTACTGTAATAGTATCGAGCAGTGCAAGGGCTTTTTATTCAAAGAGCAGACTACTAAAGGGTTTGAAGGGCGAGATAAGACAACACCGCGTGTCTCCAGCACCCTCGTCGACAGTTAGAAATTTCGGGAAATATTATTCTTTGGCATGCGCCATCGGTGCCATCGA